ATGTTATGTTATGTTATGTTATGTTATGTTATGTTATGTTATGTTATGTTATGTTATGTTATGTTATGTTATGTTATGTTATGTTATGTTACATGTTATGTTATTTTATGTTATGTTATGTTTATGTTATGTTTTATGTGTTATGCTTTATGTTTAGATTCAGACCCAGTGAGTGACCCACCCTCCACGCCTAGTGAATTCTCACTTATAGTAAACTTTGAGGAAGTACTCATGAAAATTCACATTCTCCACTGAATGACTTCGATCAATCACAAGCTGAAATCTTAAATGTTAGCTATCAAGAAGTTTTGAAGCAGGATTTCGTGTGACACCACACGGTAGTGCGACACACATTGCTCTGTTGACTGGTTCTACGCAAATGCAACAATTTCAGATATCTAGGGATTGGAGCTGTAATAGATTCAGAAAAACACGACAACGTTTGAACGTTTGAACGTTTGAACGTTCAACGTTTCAACACTCAAGCACTTGCCACACTGAAAAAAATTTGTCGCCACACGCCAACAAATGAAATTACTACAATTATACAGGATAGAAGACGTTTTCCATCTCTGAGATAGATAAGTAACCACAGCAATTTGCCGACCTGGCCATCAGAAAATCCATCTTGTGATGTAAGATGTATCTTAGCGCATGTAAACATGCACATATGCAGTAAATAAGAACTGAACATAGAGCAGATGAGGTGTTAAAACAGTCACACTTACGATGCTTCAGTAGTTCAGCCAGACACTCGCCATGATTAGCAGCCGCCGCCTCATGGATCGCTCTCCATCCTCTATTATCCTGAACATCTACGGGCCTCTTCATCTTAATTAGCCGCTGAAATGACAATCAGTCATCTGTATCTGTATCTGTACTGTACATCGACGCAGTCAAACTTGACTATTATGCGACGGGCTATAGCTAGCCAGGGGTGTGACTTAGCTTGGGTAAAGCTAGGTAGTTAGCCTTTTAGCCTGTGAAGTACATTAAGCCTGCAAGTCATGTGATGCCAGTCTAGTTTATTAGTCTAGTCTAGTCCGTATAGGTTCGCAGGCTTTCGAAAAGGTCGCTACAGCAGTAGTGGGTAAACTATGATAACACTATAACTAAACCGACACATGCGAGTGTACATACTGCCACCTTTTCGAAACCTGCGAACCTATACGGACAGCAGACTAAACCAATAAACTACGACTGGCATCCACATACTTCAGGCTTTAATGTACTTCACAGGCAGAAAGGCATACTAATCTACCTTTTACCAAACTAATCACACCCGCGCTAGCTAAGCCCGTCGCATAATTGTCAGTTTGACGTGCGTTCGAGTACAGTACAGATACAGATACAGATTAACTGTATTGTGCATTTCAGCGCTAATTAAGATGTAAAGAGGCCGTAGATGTCAGGATAGATACGGGATGGAGAGCGATCATTGAGGTGCGCGGCTGGCTAATGATGGCCGAGTGTCTTGGCTGAACTAAACTGAAGCAGTCGTAAGCGTGACTGTTTTAACGCCTGCTATCTGCTCTATGTTCAGTTATCTTCTTTATACGCATAGTGGCATGTTTTAGCAATGCGGCGAAATACATCTTCCATCACAGAGATCGATGTTCTGATGGCGCGGCGGTGCGGCAATTGCCTTTGGTTACTTATTATCTGTCAAGCAGATGGAAAACGTCCTTCATCATCCTGTATACATTGTAGTAATTTCTTTGTTGGCGTGTGGCGACAATTTTGTTTTTCAGTGTGGCACACGTGCTTGGAGGTGTTGAAGATGATAACGTTGAACGATCAAACGTATCAAACTTCAGAGCGTTCACAAAGTTGTCGTGTTTTTTCTGAATGCTATTGACAGCTCCAATCCTAGATAGTCTGAAATGTTGCATTTGCGTGGAACCAGTCACTAGAGCAATGTGTGTCCGGCACTAACGAGCGTGTTGTGTCACAGCGAAATGCTGGCTTCAAAACTTATTGATAGGCTAACATTTCAGAATTGGCAGGCTTGTGATTGTGATTGGAGGCAGCGCTTGTGATCTGATCGACGTCCCAATCCAGTGGAGAATAACTTGAATTTTGCACCATGTGAATTTTCCTTCAGTCCGGAAGGAAAGTAGGCAAGGTAATTCCTACAAGTTTTCCTATAAGTGAGAATTCAGCTAGGCGTGGAGGGTGAGGTCTGAATCTAAACATAAAGCATAACACAAAAACATAACATAAAACATAGCATAACATTAACATAAATCATAAAAATAACATAAACGCATAAGCATAACTATAGCATAACATAAGCCATAACTAACATAACATAACATAAACATAACATAACATAAATAACATAACATAACATAACATAACATAGGCATAGCTATAGCCATAAACATAACATAAATAACATAGCATAACATAATACATAACAGCATCTGAAGCATGCACGGTGAGTGTAAGGGTGTGGCGATATCTCGATCTTGCAGAGAAAGTGTCAGGAAACAGCAGGCCGACTGCACTGGCAGTACGCGTTTTGAACGGCCTGACCTCTTTCACATGTCGCCTGCAAAAGCGGGTCGCTGACTGGCATTCGACTTTCTGCCTGAGGGGGCCTGATACCGATATTGCGAGCGAGCGACGACCAACACCGCTGCTGGATGGTATGCCGCTGGCTCATTTGTGCATGAAATGTCATACATAGTTATGAACATACCATTGAGTCCAAATGTCATTGTCGTTTGCTCTAATAATTCGTCTCTACTATGACTTAGACCTATAGAAAATAGAAAGATAGATAGATTAGATAGAAAATAGAAATAGACATCATGCCCCCCACCGTAGTAGATAGATACGAGTAATAGATTAAATAGATAGATAGAGTAGAGTAGATAGATAGATGGATAGATAGATAGATAGATAGCTAGATAAATAAATAGATAGATAGTAGACTAATAGATCAGATAGACTAACTGCACTATGAGTAATAGATAGCGATAATAAGGATAGACTAGATAGATAGATAGATAGATAGTAGATAGATAGATAGATAGATAGATAGATAGATAGATCACGATATATAAATAATAGATAATAGATAGAAGATCAGATAGATAGATAGACATACACGCACAGAGTAAACGAGAGTAAAAGGGAGAGTGAGAGAGGGAGAAGCTCACATAGGCTGAAAAGAAGAAGAAGAAGACGCGGAGACTTCGCATCTCATTAAATGAGGAATGCATGTGAATCTATCTATCAGTGACGCTGGGCCGTCAAAGCTCTTGACGATCATATCTCTGACAGAAGTAGTAGAGTTATTCGACATTGCGCGTTCGACATTTATTTCGGCACGCTCCGGCCGCCCCTTTTCCGGTCCTTACATCTCTTATTCGCGGACGCACCGCCGAAGGCCGAGCTACTAACGAGGTGGAAAGAAGAGGAGAGAGAGGGGATGACGCCCCAGGAGAGGAATTCATGGGTATACAGGATAGAGAGAGGAAGAGAGAGAGAAGAGAGAAGAGAGCGGGAGAGAAAGAGAGGAGAGAGAGAGAGAGCGAGGAGAAGAGAAGAGAGAAAGGAGAGAGATGGGAGATGGGAGAGACGAGAGAGAGAGAGAGCGAGAGAAGAGAGACGATCGAAAACAAGAGAGAGAGCAGCGAGAGAGAGAGGGAAGAGAGAGAGAGAGAGAGAGCCGAGAGAGAGAGAGAGAGAGAAGAGAGGAGAGGAGAGCTGAGAGAGAGAGAGAGAGAGAAAGAAAGAGAGCGAGAGAGAGAGAGAGAGAGAGAGAGATGAGAGAGAGACTAAAAATGCGAGAAGAATTGATGAATGAGAGATGGTCACAGATGAGTGAGTGCGATGGAAAGGGAAGACAGTGAGGGAAGGAAAGCAAGTAGGAAAATTAAAGAGAATCAATGATGGCAGGCACATGAGGAGCAAGAATATGGAAGAGAAATCGCTGGAGAAATAAATGAGCGAGGGCAAGGATAATATAGAGAAGGCACCGGGAGAAGAAATGAAAGATGGTATTGACAGGGGAAACGGAGGGAGAATACATTAGGACTAAAAAAGTGGCAGAAAACTAAAAATTGAAGGAATAAAAACTTCTTATATCTCTGATCGCTATCGTCCCACGTGACACGCGTCGAATCACTTCGGCATGTCTATCTCACCGGTTCTCCGGTGAGATGCATTCGCGCGCATTTGTCCG